GGTTTAGTGGTTTAGGTGTTTTAAGGGGTTTAGCGTTTTAGGGGGGTTTAGGGTTTTAGGGGGGTTTAGGGGGTTTAGGGGGTGTTTGGGGTTTTAGGGGGGTTTAGGGGGTGTTTAGGGTTTTACGGGGGTTTAGGGGGTTTAGGGGGTTTAGGGGGTGTTTAGGGTTTAGGGTTTTAGGGCTTAGGGATTTAGGGTTTAGGGTTTAGGGCTTAGACCCCAGAGAACCTACCTTTTGAGGATGTATAAGGAAATCAGAATAAGGATCCCTAAAAAGAGTGGTTCTTGAGGGTCCAGGTAGGGCTTAAGGGCTTGAGGGTTTTAGGCTTCAGGTTTTTGAGGGCTATATAGGGTTAAAAAAGGGGTTTAGGGTTTTAGGCTTTAGGGCTTAAAGGGCCTTGTCATTGTCGGGTTAGAAAAGGGGTTGGTTTTAGGCTTTAGGGCTTAAAGGCTTGTATAAGGCTGTAGGGCTTCAGGGTTTTTTGAGGGCTGCAGGGTTTTAGGGTTTTTGGAGTTTAGAAACTTTAAGGTTTAGAGCGTTTAGGGTCAGTACAAAATTAGGGGTTGTTGGGTGTTTATAGGATGTATAGGGCTTTAGTGTAAGCACAAGGGGCTGGACTTTTGGATGTAGCGTTGCTTCGGGTTCATGGTGGGCTGTTGCGCAGTGCACTCGGGGTGTAGGACACTGTGCTTGTAGCGCTTCTACAGGATGTGTTGTCAGGTCATTCTTTGCTTCTGATGTGCTTTGGTTGCGCTAGGTATCTCCAAATGCTAGTACTTCCGCGTTCTACCGTATACAGAAGGTATCATGGCCGGAAAACCGAAGCCTCCACCCCGCAAGCTCTAATTCGGGCCCTTGCGCATCTCACCTCGGAGTTTCAACGCCGATGCAAGCTCTACACTGTATGATCCTTGTTGCAAAAGCCTCCCCCAAAAAAGTGTAATTTTTAAAGCGCGAAGCCAGCCCCTGAATCAGGATACGGATACAGACCCTCAAGATACCTGTGCTACTCCCTTGTGGTGACCGTTAATTGCTGCAAGGGCGAAGTTACCTAACACATACTCTCAAGAACCCTTAAACCCTAAACCCTAAACCCCTAAACCCTAAACCGCGACCACTAACTCCTTAACCCGGCTGGTTGAGGGACCCTAAACGCTTTTGAGATTAGATTTCAGAAGCCCGAAGCCCTAAATCCTCTGAGGTTCGACTACAGGGTTCAGTTTATAGGGTTGAGGTTATAGGGACTTGGGATTAGGGGTGAGGATTCTTGCGTGTTCTGGAGGAGGTACAACATCCAGACAGTGCGCATGTTGGGGGGGGGTCAAGCATATGTCTAACTCTTCCCTGAGGGTTTTAGGGTTTAGGGCTTCTGGCTGCTCCCTTACGAAGCATTTTCAGTCTTCATTATAGTATAAGCCCAAAACGGGTCGTTGCTTGGGTCTGTGTGGTTTGTGGTGATACAACGGTAGATACGATCTGGCAGAAGGTTTGATTTTCAAAGCCCCGAACGACAAGTTCCGAAACCATAAGCCCAAGACACCCCAAAGCCCGAGAAGCCTTAACACCTACCCAGTACACAAGGTTTAGGGTTTAGGGGTTTGGGTTTCTGAGCTGCCTGTCGTGCAGGTCCCGCATCAACGAGCTTCACGACGAGATACTGCAAGCTGAGTTCAACACTGAGGTGGCGAAGCGCCACTTGGCACTTTGTGGTCAAGGTCCTTTAGAGGCGTAGACCCTAAACTGCCCTAAACCCTAAACTGCCCTAAACCCTAAACCCTAAACCCTAAACCCTAAACCCTAAACCCTAAACCCTAAACCCTACCCTAAACCCTAGAGTAGGGAACCAAGGTACCAGAAACAATGCATTTTGGGGTCTAGGTGGATCCTTTTGGGCCCTAGTGCCACATGGTTGCTCTTGTCTTTATTTCAGGCCAGCCTCAACGACTAAGGGTTTAGGATGCAGAGTTTAGGGCCTTAGGCTTTAGGGTTGCGCTGCCATGAATACCAGTGTGCAAGATGTTCTCAAAACGCATCAAGATTATAGGGGTTGGCAGAAAGAGCGTCAGATAAGGGGGACCCAGCAGGTCCCGCCTATTTCCTGCGCTTGTTTCCTCTGTCGAGGCTTCTGCAGTACAGCTTGATCTTTCCGCGAGGGTGGAACCAGAGGATAGTCCCTAAACCCTAAACCCTATAGTAGGGTCGCAGGCCCAGAATAGAAACGTAGAGCCCTCGGTAGTATGCCAGCCATGCCCTCTGCATCTTGAGGAAGCCCTCAACCCCTGAAGATAGGAAAGTTTCTCTCGGATGCAGCCGTTATGGCTTCCCAGCTGGCCGACCACACCTGCAGAGGGCTGCTGAGCTCATGGTATGCCCTTCTCTAGCCTCTTTGACTGTAGCCCCTGTAGACCCTCATCCTATAAACCCTATATTAACCCTAAGACCCTAAACACCTAGACCCTCCAAAACCTACCTTATCCCCACAAATAACCTACTTCTTTAAGGACTTATATAAAGAATTCATAATCAGGAACCCTAAAAGGGTAGGTTCTTTAGGGTCCAGGTAAACCCTAAACCCCAAGCATGCTCCGGGTGTGCTTGACCAGCGGCAGCACAGTGGCAAAGCTGAGTGCGCAGGACAGAAGTTTCCTGCTTCTAGCGGGGCTGTATAGGGCTGAAGAGAGGTCGGGTACTGGAGCTTGAGAGGGTTTTGTGCAGGGCTTGTAGGGCTTTGGGGTGGTCGCCGCCTATCATGGGTTCATAGGTGCTCTACTTTTGTCTTGTGAGAGTTTGCCCGAGATTTATGCAGCAAGGTCCTGCGGGGCACCAGGGAAAGACCCCTTAAAACTCTCCGCCCTAGAGAAGTTGAAGGACGTCGCGGGCTTCGCGGCCTCGCATGACGGCTCCTTGGGTCACAGCTTTCAGGGTTTAGGGCGGCAGTGCTTCGGCAACCCTCAACCAGGATGCGCAGCATAGCTGTTGATATGTGCTATATATATATATGTATATATAGCGGTTTCGGGTCTGCTAGGTGTGTTTCTGGATAACTAGGGGATCTGCTGATGAGCAGATTCCGGCCATCTCTTTCCCTACCCTAAACCATGAGCCGTGTGAATTGTACTCGCAGACTCCTGGAGAAGCAGGAATGAGCAAGGCCGGAATTCGTCCAAAGGCTTCTTGAAGAGAGTATCGAACGACTATGACCCGTATAGCCCCTGTAGCCTCAACCCTTACCTTCAAAGGACCCATATTTTAAAGCTTTTGGGCCCAAAGACCCTATTACATGAGGCTATTGGGCTATTTTGATGCTAAGGGCAAGAGAGCCCATATACTGTTGAGAAGTCAACATTCGGAGTCTAACTATAGGCTCCATAGAAGTTCCTTTTTGTGGTTTGTATTTAGGATCCTATAGGGTAATCCCAAAAAGGAGCTACTATGGAGCCTATGGGTAGAGCCCTAAACCCTAAAACCCCTATGATCCCTTTTAGAACCGAAACCCGAAACCCTAAACCCTAAACCCTAACCCTATTTTAAGGTGCAGAGAGGCCTGCCGGCCCCGAGGTTGGGTATCGGGGCTGAAGCGGCACCTTGCTCGCGCGGCTGCCTGGCAGCAGTGCCAGTTATGGCTTGGCGCTAGTGGTTCTTGCCTTCTGCCCATAGGCCCCTAAGTAGTTCTTTTTTTTGTGGTTTATATTTAGATTCCTATAAGGTAAGCCCAAAAAGGAACTACTTAGGGGCCTGTGGGTAGAGGCAAGCTGGCGAGGCTGTGCAAACCTGTGGTCCTCATGCATCTTTGCGTCTTTCCTGCTTCGTCGTGTAGACCCTGTATCGACAACGCAGGAATCTCAGTACCGAAGGCCTCCCCAAAGTCACAACTCATCGGGAAAGTTTAGGCTCAGGGTGTATCAGTTGTATAAACCTATCTCGGCATTTTTGGAAGGAGCGCAAGGGTCTGTGAAGTAAGAAGTCTCCATGACTTCTGCTTCAAACCATTAAAGGAAACTACAGGTGGGTAGTTTAGGGTTATATAGGGCTTCTATAAGGCTTCTATAACGTGTCCTAGAAACCAAGGTGCCGGGTTTCGGCATCCAGATGTTTTTTCAAAGTCGCCGAAGCATGAGCACCTTACTCCCTCTTGCGGGCAATGACTGACCATCCTAAACCCTAAGTCCTATGAAGTCGAAGTCGCTTTTGAGGGCTCGGCATGTTGCGTTGGCGTTCAAGCTTTGAGGCTCTGGGTTAGAGCGCTGCGGATTGATTTCTGCAGCGTTCGGGAGTATAGGGTTTAGGGTTTAGGGTTTAAGGTTTAGGGCCTAGGGATTAGGGTGTTTTCAATTTCAGTGGTTTCAAAGCCCTAAACCTTACGAACTATTCATCAGCGTCCTTGTCAGGGGCTCGAAGCATCTCCTGGACTTTTTGAGCACGAGTCGTTGTAAGCACTGAGATCCAAAAAGGCTCCGCCAAGACATTCCAGTATCCTTTAATGTGGAGTATACCGTAATAGACCTTAAGTGCAGCAAAAGACCTCAAGTTGCAGTAAAAGTAGGATACTATCATTATGGCATATAAGTATATATGGTCATATTTGCAGAAACTCCAAAAATCAGTAGAGAAAGGGCGTTGGGACATAATATGGTATATATTTGTATCGTGGGGGTATATAAAGGGGAAATATGATAGCGTGATCGTTATTCAACCCTCGGTGGTACCCTAGACGAAGGAAGGGAGAGATAAGGTTCCTACATCCGCAAGGTCTCGGCTCCGCAGATCAAACCCCGAAACACTCACCCCTTAAGAACCCTACGATCCGGAAGCCTTATATAAACTCTAAGTTGATAGACCCTAGCCCTAGCCCCCCCCTCTTCCTAGGCCCCTGGAGCCCCACACTCCATGCCCATGAACGGAAGGTTTCGCGGCCGCGTTTCATCCTCCGACTTCTGGACGAGGATGCGCTGCTGAGTGATGCAGCTTTGAAGCTGCCGTGCACGTTGCAGCTGGCATCCTGGACTAATTTTGAGAGCATTGTCTTTGGGTCTTTATATGTGTTCATCCTGCTTTCTAGGGATTCATAGGATGTTTATTTTGCGAGGGTAGGGTTTCCGTGGCTATCCGAGGATGTGGTTAAGGGCTTCCGGAGCAGCTCCCTGAGCCGTTCGATCTCTTGCCAAGGCTCCCAGATCTCCAGAAAGCTGCACTAAGGCTATTTTAAGGTTACTATAAGGGTATTACAAGGGCCCCTTATAGTAATTCTGCTGTGATATACCCCAAAACCCCGTTTTTGATTATCAAGGCCCCTGCATAACTCTTGTAGGCGCTTAGGGGCTTCGGTTACTACGGGCGTTGCATCTAGGGGCCACTGCCTTTTCCAAGAGAGCCGCCTCGCTTGATCGCGAAGGGCCCCTGGTTGAGAGGTAAATTTGTTTGGGGTTTAGGCTTTGAGGCCTAGGGTTCAGGGTTTCAGATCCGATTTTTAGGCTTAGGCTCTAAGGTCCAGGGTTTAGGGTTTGAGGTTGAGGCTTTATGGTTTAGGTGTTAAGGCTCAGGGTTTAGGGTATTTTAGGGTTCTGGTGTGTCCAAGGTTCTGCTGCCCTACCGCGCAGCGGATCTTGCTGATGCCCAGGCCTGGATTCCGGTCTTGTACACAGGGCTTAGCGCCTGAGGTCATAGTTAGGGCCTTTGCAAACCCCAATTTAACCATACCGTACCCTTGTAGTAACCTTAAAGTACCCTTGCAACGACCTTACCTGTAGAGCTCCCTCACAGTATCATTAAAATACCCTTATAGCAATCTTACAGTACCCTTATAGCAACATTCGCTTCCCATATAGTGGCCGCAGTAGCATTCGCTTCCCATATAGTGGCCGCAGTAGCTTTAAAATACCCCTATAGTAACCCTTAGTCTTATTATTGTAGTAACTTTATAACAACCATAACCTACCCTTGTAGTAGCCTCAAACCCCCAATAGTAACCCTGTAGTACCCTCATTTTAGTACCCTTATAGTACCTGTAAAGTACCCTTATACCAACTTTACGCTACCACTTATAGTAACTTGCAAGAATCCCCCTATAGTTACCATATGCTGCCTGCATTTTGGTACCCTTATAGCACCTAAACCCTAAACCCTAAACCGTTAGTACCTTCATTTTGGTACCTTTATACCTATAGTCTCCATTGTAGTTCCTTTTTGGGGTTACCAATTAGGATCCTTAATCTAAACTTGGTTAAACCCCCAAAAAAGGGACTACAATGGAGACTATAGGTAGTACACTTATAAAGTACCTAAACCCTAAACCCTAAACCGTTAGTACCTTCATTTTGGTACCCTCATAGTCTATAGTACCTAAACCCTAAATCCTAAACCCTAAATCCTTTATACTACACTACTTAAAAGCAACTTTTCGGGTTTTTCTCCCGGCAGAGGCTCTGATCGCTGCTGCGGGCCGGGACGACCCGGATGCCGTCTCGGCGCTGCTGCATTGGCCGGTCTTCGGCCTGAGCAAAGCCGATGTAAACTTATAAACTAAACCCCTTTTAGTTAAGGAACCCGGGTTTAGGGTTTAGGGGTTTAGGGTTTAGGGTTTTGGGGGGGTAGGGTTTGGGGGTTACCCTTAGGCCCCTAAGTAGTTCCTTCTTATGGGTTTATAATAGTTGTAATCCTATAAGGTACTCCCAAAAGGAACTTAGGGGCCTATGGGTAGACCCTGATAATATTCGCATAATTCTAGTACAGCTATGAGGTACTATCACTGGAGACCCCAAGAGTGTAGTGTAGTACTGTTATTAGTTGCCGGAATAGGGGTTCTTCAGGATCTATCTGACCCTAAAGTGGGTTGGGTTTAGGGTTTATTAGGGTTGTAGGGCATAGGGACCTACCTAGGTCCCCTTTTGGGGTTACGTTAGTTTCTTACTGTAGGATCCTAGGTTATCCAAACTAGGGGTACTACATACATTCCAGGGAGGTGGAAGCTTGGTTCAAGATGAGAGTAAGCCCTAAACCCTAAACCCTGAACCCTAAACCCTATAAACCCTAAACACTAAACCCCCCTACTACGAGGACCCAGGGACCTCACGGCATGAGAAGTGGGCTAGTCGTCTAGTCTTCCGCGACTGAAACACGTATGGGTGCTTTGTAGTATTGGCTACTGCGACGATGGACGATGCTCAAAGAGGATTTCCGAAAACTACGGAAGCCTAGTGAGCAGTGAGTCGAGTAGGTTCCTTGCTATCAACAGACCTGCCAAACAAGGCTCCCTGGTCCATAGATGTCGCTGTATGTACAGATCTAAGAACAATGCATGTGCACATAAAACTATGCAATGGTATGTATGTATGTATATATATATACATATCGATATACATACATGCGTGTACATACATTCGTACAGGTTTTCTAGGATATGCGAAAGTCCTAGTCTTTCGTAAACCCTCAAAATCTAAGGCCTGAACCTTCAACCTAACTCCTGAGTTCCTGAATGGTTCCTAGATACCCAAAGGCCCCTAAGTAGTTCCTTTTTGGGATTACCTTATAGGATTCCAAATATAGGAACTACTTAGGGGCCTTGTGGGTAAACTCTGAGCCCTCGGCCCAGCAACATCCTAAACCCCTTCTACTTGGAGGTTCATGGGTAGTTATAAGTAGGGTTTAGGGTTTAGGGTTTATAATGTTTATAGGGTTTAGGGTTTAGGTTCATGGGTAGTTATAAGTAGGGTTATAAGTCCCCTAATATGGATAGTTACCCTACTTATAACCCCTCTTATAACTACCTATGAACCTCCAAGTAGGTCCGGTAGCTTGCGAACCCGCATCCTGCGTCCATCATGCATATCTTAAGCTAGAAGAGACACATGGGGGGTTTCAGGGCTTGGGTTGAAGGGTTAGGGTTTAGGGCTTTGGGGCTTGAGGGTTTTTGTGGCTCAGGGCGTTGTGTTGGGATGTCTAATATGCCCCTTATGAAGCCAATCTACTTGTAGAGTTCGTTCACAGCCGAGTAAAACCCGTCCAAATTGCAACCGCGAATACTCTTAAATCCGAACCTCCAAGTCACCAAGCCCCAAGCATTAAATTCCATGTCGTCCACGTCCCAAAGCCTATATTTTGGACCCTTATAGGGTCCTTCTGGAATCTTCGTAGAAGCCCACAACACCCTTGGGAAGGGGATCTCTCCCTTATAAAACCCTAAACCCTAAACCCTACACCCTACACCCTAAAACCCTAAACCCTCAACCCTAAACCCTAAACCCCCTAAAACCCTAAACCCTATACCCTAAACCCTTTTAGGGTTTAGGGTCTCTCCGAAGGTCGACCCAAACCTCCGCGACGACCAGGGCGACTTCCCGCTTCTCCGGGCTGCCTACCACGGCACTTGGCCCTGAGACCGCGCAGGGTTTAGGGGCCGAGTGGTTTAGGGGGTTTAGGGGTTTAGGATTTATGGGTTTAGGGGTTTAGGGTTTAGGAGCTTTGGGGTTTAGGGGTTAGGGGTTTCGGGTTTAGGGGTTTAGGGATTTAGGGTTAGGTAATGTAAGGGCCTTTCAGGGTATACTAGACTATACAATTGTAATAAAGAGCGCCCCAGCATCGTATTGGTAAACATCTAGGCCCCTATTATATTCTAGGTTTTTTTTTTTGTTGCGGGCCTGGGTTCAAGATTTGGGTCTTGCAGTTGGGGCTTCAGGGCTTTGGGGTTCAGGGTGTGAGACTGTAGCTTTGCGGCATTGAGGGTATCGACTTCTTCCTGCGGCGAAGAGGGCTTCAAGATTCCCTGCCAAAGCAGCACCTTAATCCCTAAACCCTACACCCCAAACCCTAAATCCCAAACCCTACATCCGAAATCCTAAATCCCAAACCCTAAACCCCAAACCCTAGACCCCAAACCCTAAACCCTAAATAAACCCTATAAACACTAACCCCCCAAACCCGCAACTCGAAGCCTTGCCCCTGCAACTGGCCTGCCTTCTGGTCCAGGGCAAAACCTAACTTCCTGCTCTCTTCGGATGAATCGAAGCTCGTGGTTTGGGGTTTAGGGTTATATAGGGGTTTAGGGTTTGGGGTTTAGGGTTTGGGGTTTGGGGTTCAGGGTTTGGGGTTTTGGGCTTAGCGTTCAGGGTTTGGGGTTTAGGGTTTCGGAGAAATGACCTTTGACCACCCCGCATTAACAAACCACAAGCGCCATATAAAGCCCTTATGAAGCCTTGAGAAAGAATCCCTTAGTTACTTACTATGAAAAGCCTGTAAAAGCCATTGATGAACCCTACAAAAAGCCATTAACACATGACATCAACCCATCCTATAGAAAATGAGAAACCATCTGAAATCGTTTGGTTGAAACCCTAAACCCTAAACCCTTTCACTCTGAGGAGGAAAAGGGGGCGACAAAGAAACAAGCCTTTCACTCCCATAGTAACTCATATGGTTTCCTTTTTTGTCGTAAGTTAAGCTAAATCCCTTAACAAGAGCCCAGCTAAACCCTAAACCCGGATAAACCCTAAACACCTGAACCCCTAACCCTAACCCCTAAACACCTGAACCCTAAACCCTATAAGCCCTAAACACCTGAACCCTAAACCCTAAACCCTACAAGATTCAGCCCCCAGTCTTCCCCGAGCCCACGAGGCAGCGCAGACTGCGTCGCTCTCCTCCTGGAAGCAGGTGCGCAGGTATTTTTAGGCTCCTCTTCTAGAGGGGTTTGCCTCAAGGGATCGTTTAGGATTTAGGGTTTAGGATTTAAAGGGTTTAGGTTTTAGGGTTTAGGGTTTAGGGTTCAGGCTTTAGGGTTCAGGCTTTAGGGTTTAGGATTTAGGATATAGGGTTTCGGGTTTAGGGGTCTTTTAGGTTAGAGCTTATAGGCTTCTAGATGGGCGCTGTTGTTTTTCGTCTCGGCCTTTGGACCTCTGAGGTTGTTGGTTTACGGAGTGTTTAGGTTTTAGGTTTTTGGGTGTACCTTAACTTACCAAAACCTACTTTGTTGTAGGTTCCCTATATCTTCCGGTTTATAATGAGAACCTACAAAAAGGTGGGGCTTTGGTTGGCTAAGGTACAGGAGCCAGGATGCGGGCAGAAACAGGGGTTCCGTGTGGGTTTGGTGTTAAAGGGTCCGTGGTCCGTTTTGGGATGAGAGGGTACTGGTTAATAAACCCTAAACCCTACACCCTAAACCCTACACACTACACACCCTAAACCCCAAACCCTACGCCCTAAACCCTATAGACCCTAAACCCTAAACCGTTAATACTTAATAAGTCCGAAGGCCCAAACCCTAGCCGAAGCCTGGCATGGCACTGCTTATTCATGTAACGTGTCGAGCTTCTGGATTTTGCACCGGTGCACCGTTTGGGGTTTAGGGGTTTAGGGGTTTAGGGTTTAGGGGGCGCGGCATCGTGCCTTGATGTGAGGGAAGTGAGAGAAGGAGGAACTGCAACTTCAAATCCAGAGCCGTCAAGTTGCGTGGGACACTTGCTGCACACGGCGCAAGCGTTCGCGTCGAGGATGCGGGTGCCTTGTGGACCGATAATCGAGCTGGCTGTTGGGACTTTGCAAGATTTCGGGTCGTTAACTCAATTTAGCAAGTCAAATTACAAGTCCAACACGTGAGCGCGTCAAGTATCAGGAGGGGTTCAGAAGCCAGCCAACACGACAAGACATATGAAATTGCGATTGTAAGGCTTAGCAGCCGACAAGAACGACCGAAGCACGCACATTCGAAGGGTTCAGTCATCATAGTTAAGACATTCCTAGGCCCCGAAACCCTTATGACTCGGGGTCACCCTATCCATCAGTGGGATGCAGGGAACCTAGCGACGAAGAGAAGCCTTCAATTTGAAGTCGTCTCGAAACCTATATGCCCGTGGTTTCTGTTTAGGATAACCTACCGGCCTTCACAATGCCACAATGATGACAAAGAGCCTTAAGGAATACTAGTTGTTAGCGATTATAGTGCTGCTTTGCTGAGGTCCCGTCTGATTTTTTCTGGGGAATTTTGGCGCCTTGAGCTTCAGCATTTCCCATAAACTTACAACAGCCTTCCATCATAAATGCCATACAAAAGCCTTACATCCTATAGGCCCTGAATCCCAAACCCTATAGTTAAGCCCTAAGCTGAACCCGACTCATTTTTCCACATCCTAAGCCCTGCATCCCAAACCCTGTAAGCCCTAAGCTGAACCCGACTTATATATCCCCTTCTGAAGCCCTGAATCCCATAGTGACCCTCTTTGTAAAGCACGTTACAAGAGCCTTTCTAGAACTCTGACCAGTCTGTGCCTGATGGGTAGCTTTCCACATTCGGGTCCCTTTTTTAGGGGTCCTTTTTATAAGTTTGCCGTACTATATTGGGGACCCGAAAAGGGGCCCAAACATTTCGAGAACTACCCTTCCATAAACCCTAAATATCTAACATATGCCGCTAAACCTTATACACCCTAAACCCCAAAAGGGATCCTACCCCAAATATCTAACATATGCCCTAAACCTTATACACCCTAAGCCCCAAAAAGGGATCCTCATTTAGAGGGACTCTGAGCCTCTGCCTTATGAGAGACGCTGAGGTGCCATGGTTGACCTTGGAAACCCATCGGGCTCCACCCCACTGCTGTTGGCCGCAGCTAAAGGGCACCTGAAGGGCACCTGGAAGCCGTACAGGCGGGCTGCGGTTCTTCTTGCATTTGGGGTGTTTGGGGGGGGGAGGGGGGGGGGG